AGACAAACAAGAGCCTAGGATAGCCTCTGGTCTTAACAAAGCTTTTGTTTTGTCTTCTGATAAAGCAGAAAAGTAGGTTCCTTAGTTTTCTCAATAAAATCTGCTCTTACAAAAGTGGTTTTGGGCCTCCACCTGCCGCTTCGGGTGAAAGCCCAGTTTGGACGGTGGGTTGACTGGCACATTCTCGTGCCAGCCAAGCATCCATACTTTCTGTCAGGTCTCCTCGGCTCCCTTCCAGAAGGCACGGGGCACAGGACCGAGAGCCAGGGCAGCAGCTACACAGCCTCAGGAAGGCCAGGGCCGGGGAGGTGGTGGCCCCAGGGAAAACCGCCCCCACGCAGGATCATTCCCTTGGGAAAAGTCCACACAGACCAGAAATAAAACAGGAGGAGGCCACTTTCTCTTATACTGTGGGCATTTCATCCTTCTCTTTCACAGCAGCATTGTTAACAAACGAGTGTGATGCCTGGGGCATCTTACCCAGGAAATGCCAGATCCGAGCTCCCCTAGCAGACCCAGGGTCCCCGTCAGCTCTCACGCCAGTGGAGCGGCTCCCACAACTCCATAAAACTTGTGAGTAGCAAAACATGTAAAACTGAAGCAGCTGTATAATACATCTGCACCCTGTCTACAGCGCATCCTTGCAAAGCTGGCCAACAGTCAGCTACGGAGATTGCTCAGTAACAGAAAAGAACCCAGAGGTTTGCCACGGGCGGCGCTCAGAACCATGGTGTGGCCTCCAGAGATGTTCGTGTAGTCACAGGCGAGCTTCAGGGCTAAGAAGCCAGCTGAGTCTCCCAGCCTCAGGCAAAGGAACATTTGATTGTCACAACATACAATTCTGAGACAATAAATACAAGGACAGCAGATGCATTTCTTCACAGGTCAAGTAACTCCAGTTTAATTTAATACAATTTAGTGCATTTCAGTGTCTTGTTCACAATTTGACTTCTGTCCCAGTACTTTTGCAACAGAAAGTAAGGAAACTGAAAAATTAGAAACCAAAGCGCCAGGTGACCTCATTAGTGCGAAGACTTCAGTTTTGCAATAGCTCAGCCACCTGGGCAGACACCACTGTGCTGCTTGGGTGGAAGGGGGCCAGCATCTATGGTGACTTCTGGACCCCTGAAAGCACTAGTTCCATTTCTTTCCTGGACAGTCTGAGAGAGAATTGCCACATTTCCCCTGAACTGACAAGCAACAGGTGCTTGAAATAAAATGTAACTCACAGGTCCACCCCAAGGAATCAAGCGGATCACAGTGTGACATTGTACCCCAAGTCGTCCCTGTGTTTTCACATCCAGGCCCCGGTATGAGATAATCAGGAGCCCGAGGGTCAGCACCTGCCTGGCAGCCCCACAGCAGGGCACCGGGACACAGCCAGAGCCCAGGTCAGCAGGCCACGCCCTTCCATGACCCCCAGCACCAAGACGCTAGGGGCAGGGTGTCTTTGGTTCAGGGCTGACACTAGAGAAAGGCCAGGGGCGTGCAGTTTCCAGAAGAAAGGCGCGTGTTTCTGGCTCTTGGGTTCACCTGGAGCCCAGCTATGCTGCAGAGTGGCATGCCAAGGCCCGATGTGGCTCGCGGGGGTGGGAGACAGGCAGCACGAATATGCACAGCTCAGGCAGGAAGGGCTATACTGGGCCTGTCCTGTGAGTGCCGGGTGGACACAAAGCCACATGCAGAGAGCCACTTGCTCCTCGCCTGAACCTGACAGATGGGGACGGATGCTCGTGCATGGCCTGTGACAGCGCGAGCTGCAATGACATGCAAGGCTGTGTCACTGTCCTTCCGGGTGACACCAGCCCTCGGGGACACCTTGAGCAGCTAAACGGAGGGGACATTCTCATGCCACGGTGCAGGGCAGGGAGCAGGAGAGAGGCAGGCTCAGACTGGAGAAAACACCTGCATCAGTTTTTACAAGTGCTGCTCACATTGTGTCGTGTGGAATTTCGTGGCTTAGATACACAGAGCTCAGCTCTCCGAGCGGACTCTGTGCTGGAGGCAGGGACCCTGGTGCCACTCAGGGCTGTGTATTTGCTTTGCCATCACCAAGTGCCAGACAACAGAGTGCTGTGCTTCCTGTCTCTGGGTCAAAGCCCTCTCATAAGTAGCTGTTTCAGACCCTCCTCGCAGCCTTACGTAGAGTCCCTGGTGTAGGAAGCACCTTTCTCTGACCACTCCAATCTCTCCCAGATTCCCGCCTGCTTCCTGTGGGGTGGTCCCTGCTCACCACGTTCACAGACAGCCCCGAGAGAGCAGCACAGGTCCCTAGACGCCAGGAGCTCCGAGAAGGCACTGGGAAATGCTGCAGACGTTTTGGAGGCCTCTGGAACTGCCAGGGGGTGACAGAACCACCACCCGGCCCCCAGTTCCACAGTACAGAGAGCCTGTGTAGGGCAGGGTGGGGCACGGCCGGGACACAGCTGGGCTGGCAAGGATAGCGGATGAGACCCAAAGGCACCTGGCTCGGGCCTGCACCAGAAGACGCAGCACACTGCGTCCACGGGCCGGGCCGGGGGTCCTGGGAGCCTCCCATGAGCCCCAGAGCCACCCCACAGCTTGGCCCAGGCCTTGGACCCCAGACCTGGACTGCACTGCCCCCATGTGGCTCGCACAGGTGTAGGAAGGTGTCAGGATGCTTCACCCCCATACTCTGCCTGAATCCAACAGGACGCCAGAGGGGGTGGTAAAGGAGGAGGAGGGAGAGAACTATTCTGACACAGATGAATTTAATTTAAAAGTCAAAGGCGTGGTCCTCCCCCTTTCTTC